TTAAGCAGATACAAGGACTGGAGTTTGATTCCTGGCATGCCATGCTGGCCCTGTCCCCTGGGACATGCTCAGATGGTAGTTGAGACTGGGCACTGTGGCACATGCCTGTAATCCCAGCGCTTGGGAGGCTGAAAACCAGGAAAATCACTATGAGTCCAATCTGTGTAGTGAGACCCTCTAGACCCTGATATATATATATCACCAGTTAGTTGTTTTCAGAAGCTCCATGTACATATATATGGAGGAATAAAAGCAAAGTAATAAATTATATATGTAAGTTAATGTATATAAGCAATTGCTTAAAAAGCAACAAGAAAGAACAAATGAAAGAAAGGAAAAAGATATATCCGTGTATATATGCAGGATATTTTAGATAATTATACTGCTGGTTTCTGCTGGTCTTTGGAAAGGAAGAGTTAATGCTTAATTTTTATTCTTTTTATTCTTTTTTTTCTTTTGAATTTGTTATAACTTCTTTGCTGTTTTTTCTTTAAACCAATCTTGCATGTTTATATCTGGTAACCTAAACAACTACTTTGAAGATAGCATCCATGCAATACAGCAACCATTGTTGGATTGCTGTTACTTTACTTAGTGAAATTTTGTATCATTTCTAATGCTGAGTTTTTCTATTGCCATTTTGTATTTTTTTAAAAATAAAAACTCCCAGGAGAATCAGTGTTTGCACCTCTCTGTAAAAACCTCATGAGTGATATATGAATATAATACTAGTGACCTAAAAAACATGGTGCTGTTTTTCCACATGGCCAGCAACTCTTGAAAATGTCATGAAGAATCCAAACCATGCTCTTCCCTTCCTTTACAGTACTTGTGCCTTCTAAGGAAAACGTAGTAATAATGGCATTAGTAAAACCGTGCTTTCATTGATGATATAAAATGGGGTGAGGTGCGAGATTCAGATAATTACAGGTATCTCTGAACCTATGTGAATGTCCAGTCAGCCATAAAATTGGATGCAATAAATGACAGTTCCTCGTACTGCACTGAAACAGGCGTCTCACAGAAAATCCGGTGTGTTTGACTCCTGTCCACTAAGTACCGCCAGCCCCCTCCTCCTCTTCCACGCATGTGCCAGTCAGCACCGCCCTGCAGCCTGTGGTCAGAACACGATTTCTTATCCTGTGGGTCTCCTGGGAGGGAGCTCATCATTGCACATGCCTGGGGGCTGTCTGGATGGAAGATTGGCTTGTCTTTAGTGGCGCTACCTGGCTGCTGTAGTTTATTGTTCTGTTCAGTGAGATCTTATTAGTACTTCTCAAATTCTTCTCCTACGCTTTTATAGCAGGGTTGCAGATTCATATTGCTCTGAGCCGAACAGGAAGCCCACAAGAACAAAGGGGCTTGCTTGGCACTGCTGCCAAGTGGAGAGTGCAGGTCCGCAGGGATTAGCTCCAGGTCCTGCAGTGACTGCATGGGAGGCGGTAGGGAGCTGCACTGCCACTTTCTACTACATTAAAAGAAGATAAAAGTCCAGGAGACTGGGAATATAATGTTTGGCCTACCATGCACCAGGTCCTGAGTTCTATTCCCCATGCTAAAAAACAGAGAAAACTGTGCTTTTATGTGTAATAGCTCATTTAAAAAAAAAAACATTTTGCTAATTAATTCAATTAATTAGTTGAATTAAGGCTTAAAGCATACACTCAGGGCCAGCTCTAAATGACCCAACCTCAAACTGTGTCAGCCTCCTTCGCAACCTGTGTTGCATACTTATGTTTTGTTAGCAATTCCTTTTGATGCGCCTTTGTGGGAATGAATTGTGAAAAAACAATGCAGTTGAAAAAAAAAATTAGTCCTAAAGGTGATCCAGCACTTTTAAATCCTTATGAAAGAATGAAAATGAATCATGTCTTTCGTGCTGTTGTTTATAAAAATGTAAAAGCAAGTCAGATCTTTTCCCTGATTTGAGTTTATTGGCCTGACCCTCAGGTCCTGAGCGCTGGTCTCTGCCTGGTTTTGTGGCCCTTCTGGTGTCCTGCTTGGCTGGATGGTTAGCCTCTGTCCTCCGCAAGGCATCTACATGTTTTAGTGCAGTCATTAAAATGTTGTTTTGGACAGCCACTTGCCTTTGGGGGCTGAAGGCCAGTCTCCATTTTTTATTTTTATTTTTGTCAACTTCTGTGCAGCACCGTGGTCAAAGGTCAGATTATTTTCAATTACTGCCATTTAAGGAATTAGTTGTCTAGACCACTTGACTTCCTTTTGACTAGGACAAGAATGTAGCACTCTGAAGGAGAATGACATCTAGTGGCTGGTTGCTGTGTGTTCATTCTTTCTGCAGGGGCAGCTGGGTTTGGACTTGGTCATGATTTTGTAAAAGTTTCTTGGCAAAATGAGCTTTTTTCACTTTCAAATCACATAATTTGTTCCAAAAGCCTTGACGACTGTTTCTGAACAGAAGTTTTACCTGTTACTTTGAAACAGGCACTTAACAATTGTTTGGAATCTGAGAAATGATTCCTTGAATTGAGCCCTTGCTTTGACAAACTAGGAAGAACCAGAGAAGTGACAAGTCTTTATTGTCCTTTAAAGCATAGGTCACCAGTTGGTTGTTTTCAGAAGCCTTAATTTAATTCCACATTATGTGCTTCAGAGCTTAGTGACCTTAAATAAATAATCTTTCCCTACTGTTTCAGTGACCCTTCATAATAATTTAATAAGCATTTCTCTATTTTTGAAATAAAATAACAGGTGACTGTCATGAATTGACCTTGATGTTGTTTAGGAAACATGATAATGTCAGTGGTGAATAATAATGGAAGAAATTATAGCATAGAGTGTTTTATCCTCAGAAATTAGAACAATCCTCAATTCACTGTATAAGGGACAATAATATCAGGTATTTAAATTATCAGGATTTTTGAAGAATGAAAAGCTAACAGTTACACAATGGCTTTTAAAAACATCCAGGCTGCTTGCCAGAAAAAGAATGAGGAATTTTTTGAGAAACTAGAATACTTCAGGACAGGAATCTCCAAATATATATGAGTAGGAAAAGGAGAAAGAAAATTTACTGATTTGATCCATGAATTTTATTCAAAGACAACCTTGGCTTTTATCTTGGCACATGCCCTGCTCTCTTGGAGATTTAAGCCATAAATGGGAGCATGCTGTTTTCCCTTAGTTTAGCTTGCTCCCTCCTCTGCCCCCGCACTATCTTGCAAACAAATAGAAATCTATTCTCATTTTTAATGACTACATGGTTACTCCATTGGATGACAACATTGTAATTTTAGATAACAAATCCTTCTGAGGGGGTAGACAATATTTGCTGTTTTGAGAAAAAAATTGGCACTGTGTGCATGTTAGATTATCTAAGCAGGACAAACTCCCAAAAGTAGAATTGCTATGTCAAAGTTATGTTTTTGAAAACCTTTTTGGTTGATGCTGCTAGGTGATCGTCTAGAAGGAGCATGCCAGGTCCCAGTCACACTGTGGCCCATTTTTGAATCTACTTGCAGCATTTAACAAACCATAAGCTCTTGTTTTTCAGGGTGGAAACAACCTTAGACAGTGGACCAGGGCAGTGTGTGCCTTGCTCCTTTTATCTACCTTTGTCTAAAATTCATGATTGCCCTTTTTTGTCTAAAAACTAAATTTGATTTTATGAAGAAAATTGTCTGTGGATAGTTGTGTCAATTCAAATGAACATGTTTGACATTTGTGCATTTAGTAAGAGGTGAATTGGAGCATCTCTCCTTAAAGAGAATTTATTTTTTAAAAAATGAATTTTTAGACTGGTCCATAGGCCAGTGCATTTAATGTTTATTCAGCAGGGATGTGTAGGCTGAATCATCATTAAACTTGTTAACAGAGATAAAGTTGTTTTTTTTTTGTTTGTTTGTTTGTTTTATTTTGTTTTTTTGGCGGAACCAGGGATTAAACTCAGGTCCTTGCACTTGCTAGGCAAGTGCTTATTCTACTGAGCTATCTCCTGACCCCAGAGATAAAATTTTAATATTGAATTTGTCAGAGAACTGAAATTTAAACTTGATCTTCAGAAGTGATTACAGCTGAATTTTAGATATGACACTCAGAGGGCCAGCCAGATAGTTTAGTTTAGTTTAGTTTCTAAAGTGCCTGCTTAAGCAAAGCACAGGGACAGGAATTCGATCCCTGGCACCACATGCTGTGCCAGCCCTGCCCCCAGGGCATGCTGAGACGGGGACTGAGACTGAGACTGGGCATCGTGGTACGTGCCTGTAATCCCAGGACTTGGGAGGCTGAAAACAGGAGGATCACTATGAGTCCGATCTGTGTAGTGAGACCCTGTAGGCCCTGTACTAAAAACATTAAAAAAAAAAAAAAAAAAAGTAAAGGAAGATTCAGGAATATCTTGAGGTACTTACATTTTATTCTCCAATTATATATTTATTTTTTGTATGTTTTACCCTTTATATGTTTTTAGACAGGTGCTCTTATTTCTTCAGAGCTGCTGTTTTGTTTTGTTTTCTTCTCATTCAACATTTTATTCATCTGACCCCGGGACCCAACAGACCCAACCCAGATAGAATCAGACCCATCCTGCCCAGCGACCCTTTTCACAGCCTGGCCCGGGATGAAGTACTTACTGGAGGATGGGTCCGGCTGCGTGGCGTCCAGGCTGGACAGGCGCCTTCCTCACACAGCAAGAGCTGCTGTTTTTAAAATTAGTCTTTAATATGGACTAGACACTATTTCAATGACTAATTTGATATCTTTTCAGATATTCAATGACCATTGGGTTGCTGCTTTCATACCTAGTCTAAGCATTGATAGGAACCTAATATTTAAGGGCTGGGGAGATCACTCAATGGAATATGTGCTTGCCTGGAAAGAACAGGGTCCTGAGTTCTATCCCTGGTACCACCAAAAAAAAAAAAAAAAAAAAGAACCTAATATTTTAGATTAGAGTATCATTTTTATCAGTGTATGTTTGCAACCAATACATTCACTGTGGGAAATCAGCGCATGTACATATCTCTTCTTGGTCCTTTTAAAAAAATATGTAGTGCTTCCCGGATTTGGGTGTCCTTCCCACACAGTTCCAGGCTGATCTTCTCTGTGTCGTTTCAGTTTTCGTATATGGATACCGGAGCAAACACAGATTAGTGAATTAAACTGAGGCCATTGATAAATCTTGAGTGAAGAGAATGTCTGGGACAATTTCCCTTCTTCAAGAGGGACCACTTAAATCATTTGAAGTCAAAAAATGCTACTTAAGAATTTTCTTACAGTGTGGTATTTTGAGCAGAGAAAAATTATTTTTGGTTTTGGAAAAAATGTTACATTTCATTGAGCTGAATTGATTGGGTTTTTTTCCCCTTTGATATTTTTCCCCTCTTAGGTTTCTCGTCGGTATTAGCTGAGAACTGCTTACCAGAAAGAATAACTTTCTGTGGTCTATAGAACTTCATTCCAGATGGACCTAGTCTAGTGTTTTGTTTGGAAAACTGCAGAACCTGTGGGTTCTGAAGAGCACTCTGGAGGGGTGAAGCACACACATGGAGATAGGGACAACAGGGTGGGCTAGGAGCAATAGAGAACAGTTAAGGAATGGGGTTCATGAAGAGAAAGTGAAGAACCCTACCAAGGGCTGCCATGTTGTCTGCACTGTGTCTTGATCTAGGTGGCTGTTTTCCTCGTATAACTATGACTAGAAGCATGGTAACTGATGCCAAAAGAGAGGAAAACCTGTGAAGGGGCCACTGTTCTCAAGAGCTGATATGGTGCAGTCAACCTATGGTTATCCAAACTAGCATCTACAGATCCTTCACCTCCTGTAATAGTTCTGTTTGGCGCTATGATTGCTTTTTGTAGTTTTCTTAAAGGATATGACTTTCTAGAAATAGCTACACTTCCGGTAGAGCTGGAGTAGATACTGAATTTGAGGGAAACTGAAAGATTTTTGTCCCAGTTAATATAGTCATGTTTTAAAATCTTTATGTTCAGAACATTTCTTAGTTTTAGAAACTTCTTTTAATAATGATAGTTAATTTCTCTTTTGTTTTTTTATTCAATGCACTGGGCATCTAGCTGAGTGGTAGAGTGCTTGCCCAGCACAGGTGAGGCTGTGGGTTGCATCCCAGCACCATCCACCCCCTAAATTATTGAATACTTAATAGTGCCTCTAATCTTCTCTGATCTTCGTAGTGGTCATGAAAAGCTTGTACTGTCTCCATTTCATGATGAGAATACTGAGTGAGGGTTGGTGAGATAAGTGACCTGAGCTAGAGGTCACTGGACCCAGGCCCAGTCCAGAGGGACCCTGTGCAAATGAAGACAGGTCACCCATCATGGAAAGCAGACACTCTAAGAGGACACTGGATGTGCTTCTGAAGTACATTGCTGGTCATTGGGATTTCACTTTCCCTCCGATTCCAGGCAGAACACACTCTCTTGTTATTTTGCCTTTTGTTCCTTTGGTCTAGGATGGAAGATGTGAGTTGGAACAAGTCTGCTGGTTGGCTAGGATCTCAGTGAGCTCCCCTTAATGTTACTGTGTGTGGTAACAGTACAAAGTAGCAGAGGTGAACTAATGAAAGATGTTCAGGATGCTGTTCCCTGCAGCCTGTTCCAGAATCCTCTGTTCAGGTTTGCCATGTTTTCTAGTATGCCAAATTTGGATTTGTGACGTTTCCCAGCCTTATTTGTAACTCTCCAAATTTGGAATTAACCCAGTTGTAGAGTTGAGTGCTATCTTTGCCACTTAGTAAATGTACAATTACAAGGTAAACATTATTAAGCAAAATTTCAGATGTATGCAAAAGTAGAGAAAACAGCTAAACAAGATTTTACATTTTGTAATGTCATTATCCAGTTAGCTATATAAAACTTTTTTGTCTGTTTTTTAAAAAACTGAGATGATAGTCTTCACTTCAAGGGCCTACTATGAAAATTAATTGAGTTATACTTAACTTCTAATAATATAGCTACCAATCCACATATATTGTGTGATCAGGCACTATGCACTGTGATTTCTTTGAGGTGTAGGTTCCATTTTTACTCTTATTTTACAAAAGAGGAAATAGGCTCACAGATGTTAAAGAACAGGCGCAAGGTCACAAAACCACAAACCAACAAAACTAGCATTTAAATTCAGTTTTATTTTACTCTCAAGCCTTAAAGAGGAATTTTATTTTATTTTATTTTTGTCTTTAAGACAGAGTCTTGCTATGCAGCTCAGGCTGGCCTTGACCTAACTTTGTAGCCCAGGCTGGTTTCAAACACACAGCAATCCTTCTGTCCCAGCCTCCTGAGTGCTGTGATTATGGGCATGTGCCATCATTCCTGGGTTAAAGAGGAATTTTATTAATCATAAAAGAATATGCAAATTCCCTCCTGCCTTGACTCTACTTTCTTTAAGAACATAGAGGATTTTGACTAGTCTATCCCCGAAAAAATAAATGTACCTGAACTTTCTAAATAAATACAAATAAATAAATTAAACCTATTTTAAAGAATCCAGAAGAGCCAACAAAGCAAAGAGAGTAGACTGGCTTTGTAGTCCCTTGGCTCGTTCCTCATAGCCTTGGGGTATACTTAGTGTTTTGCTTATTTTTGTGGTTCTTGTGTTAACTGGTGACATTTGTTTTGCATTGCTGCAGAGGACTATAACATTCCTCTTTGTGACCAATCTTCTTCTCACTGTGCAGCATGCTGCGGACTTGGAAAAGAAACAGAATGAGACAGAAAACAGAAAATTGCTGGGAACTGTAATCCAGTATGGCAACGTGATCCAGGTAAATCAAGGGACCTCTTTTCTTCTGGAGCTGAAGCATGACAAACAATGAAACAGAAAGCAAACACATGCCAAAGTTTGAATTCCTTTGCAGCACAACTCCATGGAGACAACCAATGAATTACCAAAGAACAAAACAACAAAAAACCCATCAAATCAAAAACTTAATTGTAGTTGTATGTGATGCAACCTTGGGCTGCTCTTAGTTGGTTCATGTCTTGGAATATCTTTTCTCTGCTTTTAGCTGACAGTTTATGTGTAAATGTATCAAACAGCACGCTTCCAACCTACAAATGATCCCATTTATTATAGTTTTGCTTTAACTTCCATTGTTTGAAGATTTTTCTTATTTGCTGAAAGTTTGCTTCCTTGTAACTTGTATCTTTTGTTTCAGAGCTGTTCATCTGAGACAATAAGAGCTATTTTATACTTTTAAACTTTTATACTTATATTACCATTTTTCTATATTTTATATTAGTAGCATATTTGATGCGTGTTCAACGGCTTCCACAGAAGATCTCAGTTTTGCACAAAACTCTGAGGAGGCCTCGTGGCCAGGAGCCTTCTCCCTCTGTCCGTGATCAGACCACTTTGAACCAAGCACAGACGATGGTGCCTTTTCAGCAGCTGGCCCATGTTATTTTATTTCACTACATCCCTTTTTTAAAGATGTTGTTTATCCTGCCAACTTTACTCATTGCAAAGTAATTTCTTCTCATTTTTAGAGTGATTAGCTAGGGAGTGGTACTAATCAGGAAGATGAAACGACTGCTTAAAAATATGGTAAAAGCAAACTTTGGGGTTTACATAGGTTATGTATGTTAGAACTTCTAGAATAGTAGAAGTACCTCATAAAAGCTTTTTGAGGATTAGGTTCTGTCCTCCTCCTCTTCCTCCTCTTCATGTCCTGTCAGTTGAGAAGCCACACAAGGGGTCATGTGGGATCAGAATTTGCTGTCAACTCCTGTAATCCCAGCTCTAGGGGTCTGAGACCAAACGGTTGCAAATTGTCATTTGAGCAATTTAGTGACTTCCTGAGATCCTTTCTCATGGTAAAAACTAAAGAAGGGCTGTGAACATAACTCAGTGCACAAGTCCTGAGTTCAGTACCCAGTGCCTGGGGAAACAGTTCAAAATCAACTTTTGACTGAGTGAGGTAAGTTCCCTGAGACCCAGAGCACAAGGCTGCCTGATGATCAGGCCAGAGAGACTATGGCTTGAGGTGCAGAGGTGCCTAGGGGCTGAGGACCTCAACTCCTAGGTATACTCTTATCTCAGGTTTTGTCATTCACTGTGACATGGGGTAAGAAATCTGGCCATGTCTCAGTTTCACACCAAAAAGGTACGGTGGTATTGGCATCTGCTTCTAATGATGGCTGAAAGGCGCACAGGACAGAATAAGCTGAAAATATTTAAAAACTAAACATAGCTTTATTACTTCCCCTAAACTCTCCACCTAAGGTGATGTTGGTTGTGAACCACTTAAGTCTAGAGCTTGGACAAGTGCCTGGAAGACCAGAGGTTACTCATCAGAGGGCAGTGAGGGCTTGGAGAGACATTGCCTTTTCCTCATTTATGTTGGCCAGAGATTGTCTGGGTCTCATGAATCAGTAGCCCTGTTAGAATATCTGGGGACTTCTTAAGGGTGTTCTACAAACAGTCTGTTAACCTGTAGGCAGAAGGATTTTTGGCAGTTGGCAATGGAGTCCCAAGCAGATTCTACCATTACTCCAGAGCCTGGGCAGTGTTTCATGTTCTTCTTAATTTTCACTTATAACCTATTGACCTCAGTTAACTCTTCCTCAACTAGGCTATCACACAAGCTGTTTCCCATTTGTATCTTCAGTCTTTCCATCCCTTCATATAACCATTGTCAGAGAATCAAAAATAAAGTGCTTGAAGTATCCTAAGTAGAAGTCTACAGCTACCATGTTCTTCTCGGTGAAGTGGCAGCCCTCTAAAAGGGTTGCCTTTTAAATTGAACTTGTGTGCTGTGATCAGAATTGCCTGACTTAGCTCCAGCTTGGTGTGAGGTGTCCCAACTGCAGTTCCTGAGCCCCTTTATACAGGGTAGGAGCGCTGCCCACTGACAGATGGCAGATGACAGATAGTTCAGTTGACCTGAGCAATATCCATCTCGCCCAAGGCTATACTGAGAAGAAAAAAAATGCCTTTCTCTTGTTTTGCCCTCTATTTCTGTACTGTTTACTGTTTGTTCTTTTTTACTCACAGCCTTAGGCACTTTTTGAGTTTTCTAACTTCACAAGCATCTTTGTGGTGGGAGGACTGTTTGATACATATTTTATCTGACAGAGAGAAGTGGTAGAAAATTCTGAGGCGTACTGACACTCACCTTATTCTC